TTATGAGGGTTCAGAAGCTGCAAGATCAAAGAGTCTTCATTTGTCTCTTTAGGTTATGTTTTAGTTCAGTCAGGTTTAAAGCTTTTACCAACAACTGTGAAGACTGTTCCTTTCTAAATGAAAACTGATCTTATGTGATGGCAGGTGTTTGAGTTTTTGAGACATGCCAATCACTATGAAGGCTGGCAATGCTTGTTCCTGGCCATTTTTTCTCATCTTGCCTGAAATGCCTGTGGAAGAGAAGAAAGGTTCCCATATGTTAAGGGTTAATCTACCTGTGTTAAGTCCACTAGGAGTTTGTCTCTCACTCTCTGTGGGGGATGAAAGTGAACGTGACCCAGTATTCTTCAGGAGGTAAAAAATTAATTTTCTTGAACAATGATGATTATTGAGTATTGCAGGGACTCTAGAAAGCCCGCAGAGAAAGGCTGGGACCCCCATGTTAAAGCTGGTGAGAGGTGGGGGGCTGTTAAAGTAGCTCCAAGGAGGATACTGACTTCAGCAACAGCAATGTCAGTGTCAGGTACCCTTTTGTACAGTAAAAAGCATCTTTTGAACCTTCCCTTTTTCAGGTTTGTGCAAGCCTGGCTGGTTGGGGTAGGAAGCAGTGGTGCAGCTGCCCCGTTTATCTCTCAGGTCTGTGATGATGGGCTGTTCTGCAGCTTTATAGAGAGAGACAAGAGCTAAACTGAACTCTGAGCACTGAACACTTTCCCTGAAGTGAGTCAGATTTCCAGTGATGTGGTAAAAAAAGAGCAAGACCAGAAAGCCTTAGAGGCTGCCACATAGGAGCGCAACAGTCTGGGCAGTGACTAAACCCCACGCCTGTAACAAACGACCCCGCAGCCTCCCTTTCAAGCATACAAATAAATCAACAGATAACATGCTACAACTTCTACTCACTTGTTACTCTTGGGCGGAGACATACCTGATTCATTTATCTTCATACATTCATCCGCTAACTCTTCATCATCTGCACTGTTCTCATACCACCTTCCAGTTTCAGCACAGCATCCTGGTGGTGAGGTGCCCACACAGCACTGTTACAAATGGCAAAGATTGAGGCAATGTTCAGAAAAACATGCCATTTGCTAGTTGATAGAGATAGCCCAGGTAAACATGAAAGGAATGGCTTAGTTAGGATCAACTGAGTGCAATCAATCAGCATAACAGCTCAGACTAAGGAGATAAAGCTACATTTGCATTTATACTTTAACCTGTTCTCTCAAAGGAGAACATTAGGATGTTTGCCTAAATGTTACAAACTACTTGGAAAAAAGGTGCCTTGATGCGGATAGCAATTATAGTGTTGATTGTTTTGGCTCTTTCTGCAGTGAAACAAAACACTAGCTCACACTAAGGGACTTAGGTGCTGCCAGGGGGAGAAACTCCTGCACGGTTCTCTACGAGCTGGAGGTTTTAAGTGTGTTGTGTGCTGGCAATCATAGCCATACTAGAAGAATCTTTTTTGACAGAAAACAATCATCAGGATTAATCACTAAGCTCACAGAAAATGAGAGGGGAAGTACAAAATGGAGGATGAGATGAGACCCAGGGATACTCAGTATCCTAGGGTGATTTTTGCATTTTATCTGGCCAGATGCCACACACAGGCAGCCTGCTGCATCCCTGCTTGCCTGGTAGAAGCCTCTGTGTTAGATTGTCTGACAGTCGAGTATAGATGGCCCTGTGGGAAAGCTGGTAAAAGGCAGAGCTTTATTAGTAATCACAGAGAGTTTGCAGAAGGTTATGGCTGTTTGCTTTCAGCCTTATCCTGACCCTGTGATTAGGGATGCACTGATCATTATTTGCTTATTAAGACTTGAAAACAGAGGGCAGAAATTTACTCTGCTCCTCTTCACAATCAGCAAGTGTTCATATGAGCTTTCAGATTATAGAGCAGATGCAGTAACTACTGAAGTGAGATTTTTCCAGGGACATTACAGGCTGTCATCAGTTCTTTGAAAGAAAATGTGTAAGCCTCCTTGCATCCCTGAGTTAAGACCAAGACCCAGGGAGAGTGGGATTTTAGATTCAATCATGTCCTCCTGCTTTCTATTAGCTAGTTTGGGGGTGGCTGTTTTGGATCCTATTTTAAGATTATTCCGTTAGAGTACCTTCATTTCTGAAAGGAACTGTCACTCTGAGGATAACTTGTGTGTCAATCTGTCTCCCAGTGCAATCAGAGTGCTAAAATTCTGGAAACTAGTTTCTATCCGTATCAAAATACACTTCCCTGAAAACTTCACGAATGGTGCTTATGTAATGTTTTGAGTATCTTAGACTGTAACATTCAACATTTTATATCTAAATTGTTAATGTTCTGTAAGTAGCACACTCAGCTATTTTAATAACCTCGATGTACTCTGTAATAAAAAAAAATAATTCTTTGTATATCCCTCAGTGACCAAAATGGAAAATAAGACCTCAAATTTTCCTCTTAACCAATTCCAAGTCAGTTCCCTAATGTGACCATAATATTAGAATAAAAGATGTAAGCCAAGGATAATGCTATGCTCAATATTTTATTTATATTTTTATGTAAACATAATTTGCTTTGTAGGCACAATATAACAAAAGCTCTAAAGCAACAAATACAATTAAACAGTGTTTCAGTTCACTTCAGTCAGGCTTAAGTTAAAGAGAAGCTTTCACAGTTCCTTTAAGGCAAATCGAGAAATAATTTGTTTCACTTGAAGAAACTATCCAATTGTCTTAGAGTTGTTTAAACAACACTGTCAGTAGTAAGCACAAACCTTCATTTCTACTACAATAAGACTTGGTCAGTAACAAGTCTCAGCATTGTCATTTTGTATAGCAAAATGATATACCTCTACCACTTCAGATGCGATACTACTGTTTGTGGTATTCTAAAAGGTACTTAGGGCTTGTGGGCCAAATTCTGCTAGCACAAATCCTGCTTCCAGAACAGGTTCCTGAAAAATTTCCATTCATTTCAGTAGTAACCTTCATATATGCCATATTAATACCAGTAAAACACAGAGTAGAGTTTAGCTTGCTGATGACCGTAATACTCATCTGTGTTGCACTTAAGTAGATCCAGAAGTATTCCTTTGTACTCACTGCAATTACCTGATATTCTGCTGATCAGAAAATGGCCCTAAAATTGGTATGAATTAGCATGAAGAGTATTTTTGCCTTGCTAACAAAACCAAAAAGAACTAGCCAAAATTATTTCATTTGATTGTTGTCCCTACGGTGTCTGTGGCCATGACCAAGATCACCCATCTTTATTTCTCTTGAAGGGTAATTTAACTGTAGAGCCAACCATACTGCGGTTTATAACAGAAGAACGGATTTGCTATTCTGCTTGCCCTACTAATTTAAGGCCTTGAGAATGCCACTTTACTGCCAGCTCAAAGGTCACCAGCAATATTGCTCACTTTGGCGTCAAATCAAAATTCCTAGTTATGTTAAGGTTTGTTGCAGGACAACATCATTACACTAACTGCAAAACAAAATCGGGCATGTTTCCTACTGTTGTCAGCTTATGAGTTGTGAAAACTTAATGGCCTTTCTTAAAAGTCCAATTGGCAAGCCCAATACATGGGAAACTCTCACTGAATATATATTTTCTGTGGACAAACTCCCTGTTTGGGCCTGATACAGCACTGGAAGTGTAGGCAAGTCCAGCTTGAAAAGGAAATCAACTATAGTGAAGTTCTGCATCAACATCTAGAGAAAACTGAAGTTCTGGTTCAATTAATATTTCAAAAGCTTTTTTGGCATCTCTCCTCCACAGTTATTTCTTCTCATTATTTTTGAATTTGTTTAACCCAAGGGAAACTCCTTCAGAATGAACTTTCTGCACAATTATCTGGTATTAGAACAGCAACTTCATGAGTACAGTGCGAAGAGATGGACATTAATACTCAGGCAGCAAGATGAAACAAACAGAAAAAACAAGAGAGAATCTTCTAAAACCACACATAAAAGTCATCCAGACCCATGAGTCCTTTCGCATTGAGAAAAGCCTGAGAAGCCCTCCCTCTCCACTTTTCTGTATTAGTTTTTAACTTCTATCACTACAGAATACTTGTAGATTTAGGTGAACAGCTAGCCATGCCTGGGGAAATACTTTCTTTCAAAAAAAATATATTACTTCAAAGATATATGGCATTATACAAGGTCTCTGACATTCCTTTAGCATTTCTATGGTAGGTGATTGCAGTCATTTTAAAATAATTGTTTTAACAAGACAATTGAGGACCTGAGTAGCTGCTGCTTGGATAGATGAAAGACATGGAAAAAATATTTACTTTTGTCATATTTAGATATAGTTTCCACTAGTGGGAGGTAGATAAGACTAGCTGGTCTTTGAATACTTGATCCTGCAAATAATTACAAACATAACTGTACATATGGAGCAGAGCTTTTGATAGAACTATTCACCTAGATAAAGTTATCCCTGTGCATAATTTCTGATGGGATTAAGGCCTAAAACTCATTTTTAACAGGGTTAACTTCTGTACCAGTTCAGCTCCAGCTTGACAGTTGATCAACACATTAGCGATTTCAGAGCAGTAAACTCCACCAACGAATTTCTTTCCACATACTGATGAGTGATCCTTACCAATACGATTTAAAAATGAAATTTAAAATTGGTTTGGATTTTGGACACAGATGAGTCAATGTGTCCTTAGCAGAAGATGTTGATCTGTCAATAACAATGCTGATTGCTACAGGCAATTAAAGTTCTGGGTCTAAAAAGAGTGGCTCACTGACCTTCTTTGCCTGTAATGTACAGGACGATAGCTCAGATCAACAGGAAAGCATGGTAGTTGGCACTCTGAATGAAGTGTTTAATTACTGGTGTTGATGACTAATGTGATTATACAATACTAATCAAAGTCTCTCAATTAATGATTTCTTGCAGAATTTCAGATTCCCCAATTCTAAATGTGGTATTTTTGAAAATGAAGATAGGATTGCTTATAAAATGATACAGCATGACTGAGGAAAATGAAAACTCATCTTTTTTGCAACTTTTATCTGTGGTTCGTAAAAGAAAAACTATTTTCACACTAAAAATCCACAAACTGAAAATCTTCCCTCCAGTTACTAGAGTCTTCCAGACAGCAAGTGGGGAATTTTTTTTGTTACTGTTTCCAACTTGCAAAAAAAGCCCAACCCCCCCAAATAACTTTATGCAAAATGTTGGAATTTGCATGAGAAAGATGCCCATCTAAAATTACACAGTAAGTTAATAAGGCTTTTAAACGGGAACAGAAAAATCCATGGGACTGTTACAGGGAAACTGGGTATTACACAGGAATGTCATAATACTGCACTGGATGAGAATGGCACTTGAGTTCAAAACAACAATGATCAACAGCTCATAGCTCAGCTGACTGCAGACAAATACAACACACACTGTACTACAGCATTTGTTCACTGATGCACAGAATAGATTTCCCAGTCTTGTTCCCTTCTACTTCATCAATCTTTCTGCTTCCACCACCTCTGGCTGTTACTGGATGAATGGCATGCGCTCTTTATTCTCATTGTCCCCTTCATGGTCTTCTTCCTCTTCTCCAGCCTCACTTGTCTCTGTGCTGTCGTTGGCCATCTGTAGGATGAAAGATGAAGGACATCAGAACATCTTTCACATTGTTTTATTCATTGTTATTTCAGTTTGATTCATTTGATAAAGTGACTTTAAAAATGAAAGAAGACATGGTTGCAACACAAAAATAAGCATTCTGTCTGTGCAAAACTTCTGTTGGCACTACACCACTTCCAGCTAAAATTGTAAGGTGTTCCCTCATGGCCTACAACTGAATTACGTAACAGAAAGCTGCTTTGTAAGACAGTTGCACAAGCGGACTCTGATCTGTGCACTTGTAGCAAACTAGTATTAAGGCTCTCAGGTAGGAAACACGACTGTGTAGGAAGTTTACAGAATGTGTGAGACCTCTGGTTTACAACTCCTTCTGTATCTGCTCTTCCAGAAACAGGTAACACTATTCTTTAACTCCAGCTAATGGATGGGATCTGGTCCCACATGAGGCATAGTGTCATGAAAACTCAGAGCGCAACTGTTTTATATGAAAAACAATGTAACTTTATAGAGCAGTGGGTATGTAGATGCTGGCAGAATATACCCATGACAGAGTGCAAATCTTGGATCGTACAGGAGTGGGGAGAAACTGCATTTCCCTATCTTACTGAAGATGCCTGTACAGGTAGTAGGCAGCTGCAGAAATCTGTAGTTCAGGATAGCACTTAAGGAGCACACCGTGTTTTTTCACATGAGAATATTTATTACAAGCTGTGTAAAGGTGCAAGACCCTCCGGTACTTCACCTCGTCGGTGTGACTTGTCTCTGCAGGCACAACAAGAGTCTGGTTCACCGGACAGGTGGTAGTGTTTAACAGCACAGATTAGTGTGACTTATACGCCAACATTACGTCTCTTAGGACACAAGAAGATTCTTGTATTAGCCGATTTCAAAACCAACTAAGCAAGGGACCCATTTACTTTTTAAAGAGAAATGCAGTGATGTTATACTTCCCTGTTGATTACTAGCCTCTGCTGGCAATAAAAATAAAAAGCTCAAACACAACCTGATTTTAACGGAGAAAAGCAATGCTCATTTTTTTTAAAATTAACACCCGTTCATGAAAGCGTATCAGATTTGTTATCACCTTCTAACCAACGGCTATTGTGAATATACAAGAGAACAGATGGAATAAATGTATTAATGTTGTGTTAGGGATTCTTGTTTACAGTTTTAAGATGCAATTCAGCTACAATAATGCCCAATTTCCATGTGTGAGGTCCCAAAAGCCTTCCTTTTCCTTGCAGCAATTTTGTATGAGATTTGGGGCCAATTTTAGAGTAAGAGCAAGTAAGAGCTTAACTGTAATTCCAGGTTCTTTTCTGTTCTTTCAAAACAGGAGATATCTCAGGTCTGAAATCAAACTTCATACATCAGTATTGATTTGAAGTCAATTTTTCATTATCTTCTTTCCTACATCATCAGTGAATGTTTAGGCAGGAGCCTGACTTTCATTTACTACTGCTCTCTGTAATGTTTCAGTACCACCATTTAAGTGCTCCAAATCCAGTGGACCAGAGCTCCACCATAAATATCTTCCTTCAGAACATTTCTAGAAGGAAGTATTTTGATATTATACTTCATATATTATAATAAAAGTAAGAGAAATTCCTACCAAAAGTACACTCCGACTTCTGTATGGGAATCGGAAAGCACTTCTACGTTTGTACACTGGAGTAATATTGACTGTGTCTTTTTCTGTTCAATCCACTTATTTTTATTAATACAGGAATTTTGTATTACGTGAAATGTCTATTTGTTTTCCATCACAGGGACAGAAATAGATGTGGCAGTTTTATCCTGATCTAGGACTTGCAGACACATTTTTGGAGAGGCAGATAGCCATTCAGTATAGAAAATTAACTGCTGGGACTCTAGGAATTACAATTGCATTTCACTTTGGGTTAAAAATATAAATGATGATTATTGGTTCTATTTAGGTGCTATCGATTTAGAAGAAAACAGTTTTAAAAAAAAAATCGTAAGGGACGTTTCCCAAAGATCGCTACCATGCTTTAACTTGTGTGACTGTACACCACGTATGTAGTGCTTTGCACTCACCAGGGGAGTGGGGGCTTTCTCCACATCCAGAATTAGTTTTCCTATATTTCCTCTGTCATGGATTCTCTGCATGGCCTCCTTCACCTGAAAGAAAGGGAACCTATTTTCAGGCACACACTAAGAGAAGCCTGAATTCCTTCCTTCCAAAACCAGCAATACATTTAAGGCATGCTATGTGCAAGGTCATTCAAACAGCTACTTGAAACAAAATTAATAGTTAAACATTTTTTTAGTGAATTTGTAAGGCCTGATTGTTGCATTGTGTTTGCAAAAATGGGATGTGAGTCTTGATGACAGTTTCTGAATAGCGTAATACATACATAATGTTAATGTAGTACAAAAGTAATGGTTAATTGAGGTGCAGAGAGAAATGCAGGCTCAGGGAGTTAATCCTTACAGGTTGTTCATTAGATTTTCTCTTTGTAGAATATTTATCAAGAAACCCTACTTCCACTGAAAGTATGAAATGTTTTTCTAATTGACCTATGATATTTTTCAATTAATTTCTTTTGCATTCCTATAGAGGGAATGCAGTATCCAGGCAGTGGCTGTGATTAATGCAGCACTGTGGTTCTCACTACATAAGCGAGTATTTCTTTCCTTCTTTTTTCCACTTTTTTTTTTTTTAATTTTAAATAAGTAATGTCCTACAGATACCACTAAGACTAGACATTTAACAGCTGGCTGCAATTACACATATGAGAAAGGAACAAAAACCTCTTCTTACTATTGCACTGGAGAGGAGCTTATTTTGATGTATGAAGTTTCAGAACTCATGAGAGCTAGGTGTTGATGAATTGAAATTATGTGTGTTGCACTGAATGTTCAATGTGCAGCATGCAGACCACTATTAAATCGCTGAAAGTTGGAAGATATCAAGAGTTTCCTCACTTTCATTGTGGGAAACTTCAGGAATTGAAAATGTACACATAAAGGCTGTTTCATATCCACATCACACTATTTTTCGCTGGCATAACAGGATACGTTGAGACAAGAAAGAGTTTTATGTTAATAGGATCTACCATCTGTGACGTAGTTTTATTGAATATTTTAAGAATAATGGCATAGAAGTTTGAAACAATATGCTGACTTGGGAACAGGTGGGTGCCACAATACATTTAAAAGCGTGAATTGGGGTCCAGGTACCTAAGATCGTTACTGAATGTCTAATACAGAGGAAGGTATGAGATTTTTAAAGATACTAAGTGAATTCAGCTTTCAATTTCCAATTAAATTTAATGGATGCTGTGCACAAAATGTCTTTACCATCTGTCAGCCTTATTTTGAAAGCTGACTGCAGTGAACTCAGTATTACACCCTTAATTTGGCCAAGTGGTTCCCTCAACTAGTAAATACCAGACTTTAAAAAAAAAAGAAAATCTGTTAGAACAAAAGAAAAATTGCACCGCAAAACACAATGATTTTCTAACTTAGGGCATAATTGTAAACTAGCCTTGGAAAACACAGTCTTATAAATCCCACTGGATAGAATGTCGACCTCTAAATGTTGTCCACAAAATCACAATAACTTTTATGAAGTTACCTTGCAGCATAACCAATACCTAACTATCCCATAAGACTTGTGCACTATGGACAATATTCCTTTAAGAATATCCAACAAAGACTCTGAAGAAGCAGCAGCTGTATTATTTTTTGATTCTTATTAGCCAAACCAAGCTTTTAGGAGTCTACAGCATGGCATAAATAACCAACGTAGATGTGACAGAATTGGAGAAATCAGCAAACACACTTGCCCGTCTATTGAAATTTATTACCAGCACATCATGTGGAACGCAGGGCATGCAACATTTATTTTAATTTGTACTATATCATATCTAGCAAGGCAAATTTGAGAAAATGTGCTTTCCCTGCATTTTTCACATGCACAGGATCAAATTTAAGACTCTGGAGAAAGGTTCAAGAGTTGTTTCCAGGACACTTTTAAGTAGCTTGCAAATGCTAACAGCAGGCAGAGGCAAAGGGAACAATAAAACTTATAACAATAATAGTGGCTATGGGGTCCAGACGGAGCTATTAAAATATATAAAAAATTTGAAAAGAAGTTTGAAGAGCTGATACAAATCTGTAAATTTTAGTGTTATTTGCAACTTACCTACCCAGTTAGTCAAATTCTGTACTAGTGCAATGCCATTCAGTACGCCATGTCTGAGCTAAGAGACCATGAGCTATTTTATGAGTAATTTTTATGTTTATGGCTGCTAACAGTCCACTTATTTCAACCAAGACTGCAACTACTTGTTTCCCAAGGTGCCTGAATATTAAAACTATTTCCTCTTATACTATAGAGAGCAGAGAGCATTAAAAACTTTCTTTGCTATGCAAGTATGGTTAAAGCTTAAGTTGTTCTAAGCAGGCTATATAAAAGCATTTATTTTTTCATGTCAACATTTAAGTGTTGCATATAGTCTGCCTTTCGCAGAGTATGGTATAGAGCTTATGCTAAGTCTGTGCCTGAGTGTTTGCATGTTACCCATGAAGATGGTGAATCACCCTGCACTTGGTTATCATCAGACCCAGGCTTAACTGGTAGTACAGTGAGGCATGTGGAAATACTGGAATTTATTGGAGGTTCTCTGAAGTGGTTGAAGTTTGATTCAAAATAAATATCCCTTCCAGTAGCAAGGATCAAAAGGGTTTCTCTCTTCTTACAGAATTGTGTCCCTAAATTACTTTTCATCAATTATTCTACATTGGTTGCTATTTGCATTTGTCAGCTCCAATCCAAGTAAATGGATCCAATGTACTTTTGTTTATATAGACGAGTTAATTGAATTTCTTCTTGTGCAGTATCATCAGCAAAGGGCTCTTGGATTGGAAATAGTGCAAGGGAGTGTTTACTAATACAAAGAGTTTCCATTGGAATAAAGGACACAAATTCTGTTGGCCTTTGTTTGCTTTCAAGTATAGCTCAGCCCTTAGAGGGTTTGTGTCTAAACTAATGCTGAACTACAGATTTTAGCCTTGAGAGACCCCAAATTGACACAATATGTATCACAGAGCTCTGCACTGGAATCAGAACTACTTCTACACATTAGTGGACAACTGGAAAATGCTTCCACTTCCCATGTTATTTACGTAAGGAAAGCTGGCAAACCAGTTACTGAGAAACAAGACCCAGAATGCTGTACAGCCACTGTCTGATGAATGCAACACAGGCCCTCTTAGGCAGCAGTAGAGGAAAATGATTAATAGCAAAGGAAAAATAAAAGGAATCCCAAGTTTGCCCTTTCCCTCAAGCACACTTGCATTAATTCGTATTTTAGTTTGACATACTGTTTTTAAGCATACTCTAGAGCAGAATCACCTTCCCCTATCTGTTCAGTCTAGTGGAAAATGATAACAAACACAAGAAAAGGATCTTGCTAGCCCAGTTTGAAACAATTTGCATATGCTTTAGGGAATATGCTTTTATAATTGGAAAAACAATTTTGAACAAGTATATTCCTTCTATCCCTTTCAGCCCTACAAATGATAGAGTCATGGATATGTTATATATCCTTATTCAGGTGTTTTTCAGCAATGACAGTGAACCTGGAAATTAAGATTTCATATGCAATAATGAGGTCATTATTGCATAGTAAAACAAAAAACATGGTCTAGAAAGACAAAACCAATGTACCTTGAGGTCCTTTACAAGTCATGCTTACCATGCCCTGTGAGAAATATTCAAATTCTTACTTTCCATCATAACTCCCCAAGTGCTGCAGATTTTTTGAGCCTTCTATGAGCACCTTCCTCGTACCACTCTGCTGGACCCAAGCAGAGAGGCAAGGAATATAAAATATAGAGAGCTTAACTGGGAACATACAGAACCATTGCACCCTGTTAGCATTATAGGCAAAATTTAGCAGCTTCAACATTTCTTGAAAATTTTAATCTATTAACACACACTTGCACATTTAAAGAGGTGTTATGCTACCAATGCTATCAACAGAATTCTTCAAAGTCATCTTGATACAAACACAGGATAATAAGGATTAAAAAAAAAAAAAAAATCATCACAAAGCTGGCAAAGGCGGCCTGTTGTGAAAAAGCCTATTCAAGTGTATTTTCCTGAGGGGATGTTATGGTCAGAATCTCAGAGCTTCTCTTGGACCAGAGCCATTTCTGTCCATCTGTACTGTGTATCATACTGAGAAGAGCAACAATTACTGTCAATAAACCTTGGTAGGAGAGTAAGGGCAGAAGTGCCCTTACTCTGCTACCGGTCAGAGATGTTCTAAAAGAGGTTTCACGACAGCTGTGTCCTCTGGAAGTATAAAGTCTGACAGCTGTACTGAACCCTCTCCAACACCACCTTGGGGTCTCTCTTGGGGTACTCCTCAAAAGTATCAAGAAGCTTGGATATGGTGTCCTCTTTAAAAATTCTTACTCTACTTCAAATAGGCTCATCTTCTCCAGCCTCAAATCTTTTCAAAATCAAGCTGAGGCACTTACCTTAATCAACAATTGTAATGTTCAGAATACTGTTTAATACTTTCACCTGCTACCACACTAGATTTTCTCTGTCTTCAAAAACAAGCTGTAACAATGAGGCCTTCCTCTAACAATATTTATAGAGAGAAGTATTGCAAAAAGTTAATGTTTTTAAAATTCTGCATGCAAACTAAAACAGAAAAGGAAGGAAAAAGCAAGCTGACCAGGCACACTGGGTTCTAGATTCAAGGGACGGATACCTGCCTTGTCTTCCTACTTTGAAACATCTGAGCACTACAGGCTTTCAAAGGCAATGCAGATAATAATATACACTAAAGAACAGGATTTTGGAAATTCTAACCATGGATAAGTCTGGAATTCCATGTGGGTCTAACAGACTTTTAAAACCTGGATTGAGAAAGCTCAATACTTGTTCCTCCCAATGAGAACTTTGACAATAACTGGCTGTGCTAATAGTTGTTTGCAAATTCAGAAATGATGCCACACCCAGGGTAATGGCATGCAACATTCTGCTCAGCCTTCCCTCACTGACTAAAATATTAAAATTATTGAATATTATAATCCTCTCCAGTTCATACAAGAGCACCACAAAGAAATCAACAGGAAAATCTCAGCACATCTCAGGA